TAGTGCTGTCAAACGATTAATCGCGATTAATCGCATCCAAAAGAAAAGTTTTTGTTTACATTATATATGTATGTGTATTGTGTATATTTATTATGTATATATAAATACACACACACATACAGTACATATTTTGAAAATATTTACATGTTTATATTCATATTCTTATATTTTATATTATATATAAATATATTTAATATATAAACAACATATTTTTCTTAAATATATGAATGCATGTGTTTGTATTTATATATACATAATAAATATATACAGTATACACACATATATTATGTAAACAAAAACTTTTCTTTTGGATGCGATTAATCGCGATTAATCGTTTGACAGCACTAGTTTTTAACCTAAAGTGTTTTTAAGATGCCTAAACCTACTGCATTGTCATTATTGTCATTATTTTTGTAGAGTGGACTAAAAATCATTTAAAACACTGGCCAACTTGCCAAGGTGTTCTTTTCTTACAAACACACAGATTTTCACTTCACAAGACATTAACTGATGGACTGGAGTGGTGTGGATTATTTGTGGATTACTGTGATGTTTTCATCAGCTGTTTGAACTCTCGTTCTGACGGCACCCATTCACTGCAGAGGATCTATTGGTGAACAAATGTTGCAGTGCTAAATTTCTCCAAATCTGTTCATATTCAGAAATAAACTCTATGTCTTGAATTGCCTGAAGGTGAGTACATTTTCAGAAATTTTTTTTGTGAACTATTCCTTTAAGGTGTGTTGCCACACCCACCAACATGACCACGCCCCTTCTTTAGTATGAGGGAACTTGGAGGTTTTCGCAACCTTCAGCTGCATTGTTGCCCTCATTATGCTGGGATTTTAGTCAAAGACGGTTAAGAAAAGCTCAAAAAATCCATTTATAAACAATGTCGAGAATTTAAGAAAGGGCAAACCTTCTCAAACCACATTCGTGGAGACAAAAGCAAAGCAGGAATTACAAACAAAGGTCGCAGAACAAAGAATGCTTTGATTACATCATGGAAATGTGCCTGAAAGTTCGCTTATATCTGGTTCGGAGAAGGTCAACGGTTAGTTCTGACGCATCTAATTTCCAAATAATTTTGACAATGAATTATGAAACCTACCTGGATCTACCTGAGAGATATAAGGCTAACACCTTTCCGAACTTTAACTATCCTATCTTTCCTCTCCTATTTCAAAGAACCCAATGCAGCCATTCCCAAAAGATACAGTGCACCATTCACTGGAGACATGAACCATCTCACGGCTCTATGCATTTCCATAATGAGTCAGGCTGACACATGTAGAAGCTTGATCTGTGTAATATCCCTCCTACAGCTACATTCACAGCGTTACATACTGGACTGGTGCTGTCGTAACAAATGACCCCAACAGAATTACACTGTGAATCCCGTCAGCATCATGGACCACCATTGTGGGTGGCCTTTGAAACTGTGTAGATTTATTCTGGCATGGTTCAACCTAAATGGGATCCTGTCAGTGTCCACAGGAGCTCTTGACAAGGATTAAACTGATTAAGGAGGCAACACCATTGAGCACACGGCCCAAGATGGATGCTGCCTGTAATGACTTCATATGAGCCACCATCCCTCAAGGGCTCTGGGGACGACCTCCAGTCACCATTTACCAAGAAAACAGTCTCCATGGTGCCATGCCATTGACAGTGAAGCTTTTAGTGGAGGATAAAGAAGGTCAGGTGACAACCGAGGCTGCCATTGCATTAGCTGAAAATGAATTTCTAACTGTACATGGAGAAGAGATGCAGTTGGAGTTAATAAAGATAAAGTACATTGAGAAATGAATGATGAAATCTGACAATGGCACATCTAAACACAAACATCACTCCCATATTCCAGGATGGTAGGTCAAATAATAATAATAACAACAACATGGCAAATGTAGTATGTCCAGGGGTGTATTCCAGAAAGCGGGTTTTGTTGGAAACTCAGTTTGTTAACCCCAGAAAAGGGAAACTCAGTGTTTTCGGTTCCAATAAAAGACAAAACTAAACCTCTTGGTAAGTTACCATAGTAACGTTTTAACTCGGAGTTTGTTGAACCTCCTTTCTGGAATACACCCCAGATTACATTCATACTACATACATTCATACTTTATAGAACATACTTTTTTTAGCAGTTGAGAAGTAATTACTTATTCAAAATGAGTACATACTCAAGAAATTATGTGATTTCAGATGCAGCAAGACAGCATTGATGATACATTCATTGAAATGTATTACATTATTATAGATTTTAATTTTTTTTTTCATTTATAACAAAACTGGCTAAATTGAATGTACAAAATACAATAGCTTTGCACAATTAAGATAAAATATATAATGTCATTTTGTAGAGTTGAGTTCGTTCTTTTTTTCTTGTGATTCCCAACTCATCAATACAAATTAAACAGAAAATATGGGCGTGGTATATATCAGAAAGCCCTCCCCTTTTTAAAATAGCCAATGGGCTTTAGTTTACATTACTATCGCTATAGGCCGTTTTAGTGTATATAATATAAAATAACGTGGGGAAAAAAGGAAAATATAGGCCTACTACATAAGTTATTCTCAAGTTCACTGGGTGCTCTGGCAAAATAGCCATAGGTGTAGAAACCAAAAATGTTTTGAACAGTAGGTGATCGTAAAACCAACTTTATTTGCATATACACAGTATACTCACTAAAAAATATTTATTACTGCTATTACTATACTGCTTGATGGTTTATCCTTGCAAAATATAAACTATATTGTACAGCTCCCTATATGGTCGCCGTGATTTTGCCAAGTAAGACATGTTCCTGGATCAACATCTTTTGTCGATCCTGGATCAACATTACTGTCCAAAAATACAGACTTAACCCAATCCCCACCCCTAAACCTAACCTTACCCATAATTTATTCCTAAAATCAGAGGGAAATGATAGCTGATTAACAAGGGTGTAGAAGCACCTAATCCTGATTGTAAGCCTAAATAAAAAAAAAAAAAGGATTAACAAGGATGTTGATCCAGGAACAAGTTGTACTTGGTGAAATCACGCTCACCCTCCCTATATAATGTTGGATGTATATCCAACTTTACCTGCATACAAGAGTAGGCTATAGGCTACTTATTTAAAGGGGTCATATGATGTGATTTCAATTTTTCCTTTCTCTTTGAAGTGTTACAAGCTCTTGGTGCATAAAGAAGATCTGTAAAGTTGCAAAGACTAAAGTCTCAAATCCAAAGAGATATTCTTTATAAAATTTCAGAGTCAGCCACACCTACCTAAAACGGCTCGTTCTAACACGCCCCCACATACCTACGTC